CATGCTGAGAAGGGAGAGACTAGGATAGTGGATAATTCCACGACGACATGTATCTCTGGGAGAGAGGGGGAGAAGAGACAGGACAATTAAGCAGGTGGTCGCGACGGATTGCATACAAATTGCGGAGTCTTGGGGGAGGGGAGGGGGAAGAGGAGACCAAAAAGGGAAAGTCTGCAAACTTCGGGCGGGCGGGACAAAGTTCACACGTCGGATCCGAGCTGGTCCCAAAGGAGGTTAGCGCGGTTCAGTCAGCAGCAGTTGGAGTAAGTTATTTAGTTTGTGTTGTTTGTTTCGGAAGGGAGGTTGCCTTCCTGAGAATGGTTTGGTTCTCCAACAATCAATCAACAAACACCACTACCACCTCCAACGCGGAATAAACTGACTTGACTTTTTTGACTTCCTGCCTGACTGCCCAGAAGGGTGAAAATGCCGGTCGGAGATGAATGATGGTCGCGGGTGACGCGGACGGTTGAGACAAAGATCAGCAAATAGACTAACTACTTACTACTCCTTCGTACTCTGTTTTAATTATGAGATAGGCAGATAGATAGATAGGTCGGCATGTTGGTCAAACCCGAGAGTCACAATACTAATACTGTAGACTAGTATCTCTCGGCCCGGGTCACCCATCAGGTCACCATGAGTAAAACCGAGAGCTAATAATTAAAAGAGAGAGAGGGATGGAGGGGGAGGTGTGAGACGAGCGGGATAAGATAAGCGCCGGGATCAGCCAAGGGCCTGGTGGAACTAGACTAATTTAGGTAGCATGTCTCCAACACTCAACTGCAATTACTGCTGTTTCGGTGCTCACACGTCCGCCCGGATTCAGTGTGTGAGCGATAGCAATTGGTCATCACTTTGATAAGGCCTGCCAAGGGGTGGGCTTCACTTGCCGCATTCGTCAGGCTTCTAGAAAATTAATAATCTCCACCTCGTCAGGAAAAAGGTTACGCCGGTGTTTCTTGGGTTGTTTCTGATGTTGCAGGTCAGCGTCGCTTTCACCGTTGCCTGTTCCCGAGTCAGAACCCGACCCTCTCTCTCTCTCTTCCACTCTCATCTTCCGCCGCCCGGCTGAGTTGTGCCCATGGGTGTGTATGCCTGCCAATCCTCTCTCGTGCTGCCGTCCCTTGTGTTCCCCATCCTCGGGACAGTGCATCCCGCCAAGTAGTATGGATACTCTCCTTACATCCCCATACATAAGATACAGCGTTTAGCCCGTTCAGCCTCACGGCTGACCCGGGTGCAAATAAACTTCGCGCCGGACACCCCGAACGTAGTAAGAGGATGGCGTCGATCGGGAACGACGGAGAGGGAGGGAGGGCGGAGGGGGAGGAGCACTAGACTACTTAGTTACTACTTACTGCAAGCGCGGCCAGCTGCCACAGGCTAATCATCGGTCCTCAAGTCTGGGGGAAAATGCAGACTAACGCGAATAGCCTTTTTAGCCTTTTCAGTCCGGTTGGGTTTGACCAGAGTGACCACCGGTTACTTGTCCGCAATGGGAACTAGGGTCGGGGTCAACTCTAACCCCAAACAGGTAAGGTCTGCAGTTCCAACGTCACCCTGGGGCTTAACCCCTGGTGGGCGCTAGTCCATTTCCGGATGCCTAGACGGGCTAGGCACTAATATATGGAACCTCATTGGTGCAATTGTAGAAGTGGCGGGAGCTTGGTCCCCACGTGGAGAGCAGATAAACTGGCAAACCTTAGCAACCGCCACTCTATCTCATTACCAAATCGTTTCCACTTTTTTTTGTGGTCACTTTCTGGTTTCTCCATCGTCTGATGGCCACCACAAAACTACGAAACTGGTTGAAATGTTCTTTTTTGCTCCATTCTCGTTGGTCTGTTCCTCTTCGTTTATCAGCTCCTCTGCGGCGGTGCCCGGATTCATCCGACCCTCTCTGGTGTCTCTGGTGTCTACTCGCGCTCTCACTCTTTGGTGCTCAGTTCTGGGCGGACGGTTCTGTGCCTGCGGTGAATTTCCGTCCCGCTCCCATTCAAAACCCTCCGTCTTCCCTCTTGTTCCTCTCTCTTCTCCAGACTCACACACCTCTCTCCCCTTCTCTCTCATCTTCCTCCTCTTCCCCCTCTCCCCCGAAACCCTCCCCCCAAAGGCAATCGGTGTGTGACAGGGCACTGTGTGTTTACTCACTCTACCCTCCTCCACCCAACCGCCACCACCACTACTAACTCACCTCTGCCCTCTCACACTACCTTCCACTACCTTCTATCTTATACATATATCAACAATAACAACGTGATCATCATGGGTTTCGGTGACGAGATTTCCGGCACGGACAACAAGTCCCAGAATGTCATGGGGGGCGAAAAGTATGGTGGTGCCGCCCAGTTTGACGGCGACCTGGTGGAGAAGATGAGCGAGGGCGAGCGGAACATCTACGAGGCTGGTATTGAAAAATATAACCGTCTGGGATGGAAGCGCCTGACGGTCGTGCTGATCGTTGAGGCCATTGCGCTGGGAAGTTTGTCCATTCCTGGCAGTTTCGCTACCCTCGGTATGGTTGCCGGTGTCATCTTGACCGTGGGTCTGGGTTTCGTCGCCATCTATACCAGTTACGTGGTCGGTCAGGTTAAGCTGAAGTTCCCCGACGTCGCCCACTACCCCGAGGCGGGACGTCTGATGTTCGGCCGGGTGGGTTACGAGATTGTCTACGTGATGCTGGGTCTGCAATTGCTCTTGCTGACGGGCTCGCACTGTCTGACGGGTACTATCGCCTTCATTAACATTACCGAAAGCGGCGTCTGCTCCGTCGTGTTCGCTGTTGTCTCCGCCATCATCCTGTTGCTCTTCGCCGTGCCCCCCAGTTTCGCTGAAATGGCCATTCTGGGCTATGTCGACTTTGTCTCCATCATTGCCGCCATCCTCATCACCATGATCGCCACGGGCATTCAGGCCTCGGACACCACAGCTGGCCTTTCCGGGGTGAATTGGTCTGCTTGGCCCAAGGAGGGCATCACCTTCACCGACGCCTTCATTGCCGTCACCAACATCATTTTCGCCTACAGTTTCGCCATGTGCCAATTCTCCTTCATGGATGAGATGCACACCCCTAAGGATTACGTCAAGTCCATCTGGGCCCTGGGTCTGATCGAAATCGTCATCTACACGCTGACGGGTGCGCTGATCTACGCCTTTGTCGGACAGGATGTGCAGAGCCCCGCTCTGTTGTCTGCGGGCAGCATGGTCAAGCGTGTGGCATTTGGTATTGCGCTGCCTGTTATCTTCATCAGTGGGTCCATCAACACGGTGGTGCTGGGTCGCATGATCCACGGCCGCATCTTCAAGAACTCGACCATCCGTTTCATCAACACCAAGATGGGCTGGATCACCTGGCTGGTGCTGATCACCGTCATCACCTGGCTGGCGTTTGTGATCGCTGAGGTCATTCCCTTCTTCTCGGATCTGCTGTCCATCTCCTCCTCGCTCTTCATCTCGGGCTTCACCTTCTACTTCCCCGCGCTGATGTGGTTCTTGCTGGTGCGCGAAGGCAAGTGGAACACGCCCAAGAACCTGATGCTGGGGGCCCTGAACCTGTGCTGTTTGATTATTGGTCTGGTGACGCTGGGGGCTGGTACCTATGCCAGTGTCGACGACATTGTAAGAGCTCTCCCTCTTTTCTTTTGATTCTGACATCTGGGTATCTGATGCTAATCCTTATTATTTAGATTCTCAACTACCGCGACGGATCCGTGCGTGGTGTGTTCACTTGCGCCTCTCCGGAGTAAAGCATTTTCTGTGTGATTAATCCGATGAGGAGGCGACTCCGACCGGGGCCAACCCTCCTCCCTTGCAAATACCCCCTCCACTGCATTTGCATTTGATGTACATATGACTCGATGGTTATGATTTTCTGTGTGTGAATACATTTACGAGCGCCCTGTTGATACACGAGCGGGTCTTTTTTCCTGTCATCTTGCTCCTCATCATTTGCCCCAAACACTCTCAATATCCTCTGCACCAGCACTATACCTCCCATGTTCTTTCTGCTTTTATTCAATTTTTCTTTCCCAGCGATAGATCAAGACCCTCCTCGCAATAGAGTTCTACTTATCATCATCGTACTTTCTTCTATTTGTATACAGCTTGGTTAAGCCTCGTATTAGGGAGATAAGCCTTGTGGTGGCGTTGGATTGCCCCATTGCATCGAAGTCCAGGTTCAAGGTTTGGGCGAATGTCCGGATGACGCGGGGAGGGCGGAGGTCCATGCCACCGCGGGCCAACATGCAACGTCACAACCACGATCCCTATCCGGAGGAACCGATCGAACAGCAGTGGAAGAGAATAAGCACGCCATCGGCTCAATCCGCTGATGTTGCGATGGATGGATCCAGCGGGATTCCCGAGTTGGTATGTACTATCTCCAGTGTCCACTCCAACCCATGTCATGATGTAGTGGATGTGTGATCGCCACTGAGGTGAGATAGGCTGATCACACTGAGAATACTACTTGCTACTTTACTACTGTGTGATAAATCAACATGATGATAGTGACACTTGCATTTTTGCTACTGGACAATGCAGCAATAGTACTATCTCAGTCTCACTGCATGATAATACTTTTTAGTGGTGTTCGTTGTTCCCCAATCAACTCATCATCAGCGTGTACCCTAAGTCATCATGCGATAAATATATAATGGTACTTTAAGTAGTAGTAGTTTTTCTGCCAGTGGCAATAACCAACCATCTCTTTAGCCACCAGTGGATAGTAACTCCCCTGCAATATAAAAGGCGTCCAGTTAAGCTTCCACTATTTCTAACTTAGATAATGGTCTTCCTCACTCACTGAATCATACCATCATTTTAATGTTCATCTGCCGACCAGTTGCCGAGGAATCAGTCAGCAACGTCTATCATGTGACTTGTGCATGCACCACCTGAGTCATTCTACCATAAGTTTTAACTAATTAATAATGCACAATGCATGACTGATTAAATTAATAACACATAAAAGAAGTCTCTCCTATTCTTTGCTTCTTCTGCTCTCCTTTCCCTCTCCACCATCCACATGCATCAATATATTTTAAGTAGCTACGGGTCATCGGATCTATTCTTAATACTCGTATACCGACCCTGAGTTATATAGCCCTATAGGGACACCACACCCGTAACCACAAAGTACAACAAACAAAGTATAGGTTTCACATCCCAATATGAGATCCATCAACTTGACATCCGATCGACACTCACCAGCTGAAACCCTGCCAATCATTTCCCCCTCGGCTGCCCCGTATCCCCAGTTGGACCTGCTATTTCTATCATCCGGCCTCCGCATGTCTCACTTCACAACATCTCCCATCATCATGCCCTCGCCAGCTTGTAGGTGTCTATATAAACCCCGGGCTACTCCGGGTCGGAGCTGTCCCTTCATGGTCTTCCCATCATAGCAATTTCAACTCCATCTCCCGCCTCTCTTTCAATTCCATCGCCAGCGCCATCATGAGATTCACTTTCGCCGCCATCACTGCCTTTGCTGCCACAGCACTGGCCCAGAATGTCCAGATTGCCTCTCCCAAGGCTGGCGAGACAGTCGAGGCGGGACAGAAGGTGATTGTCCAGATTGAGCGTCCGGTAAGTCCTGCGATGCTGTTATTCCCGACCTTGAATGGTGTAAAGTGTATCAATTGGACTGACCATATGTTTTTTGCTAATATAATAGACTCCCCCCACCAACGTCGAGGAAATGGCCATCGCCATCGGCCTGCAGTCCTGCGCCTCTGCCACCTGCTACCCGGCCTCAGAGGTCCTGGGTCAGGTTCTGTACAATGGCGCCTTTGACCCCGAGTACCACGAGTGGTACTTGCCTCAGTACCAGAACTTCACCGTCACCATTCCCGAGGGCACTGCTTCGGGCAAGGCGGTGCTGGGTGTCGCTCATGCCTCCCTTATTGGAGTAAGTCAATTGCCATTTCAACTGTTTGGTCTCTGCTGATTTGATTGGGTTCTAGGCTTCGTTTGAGCCGTACCTCCAGACCCTCAGCCAGAACATCACGATCGCATAGTTTGGTGGAGTAGGGACTTAAGGGGAGCATAATATTCTCGCACGGCTGATAAGTCTGTGTAAAAGCAATTCATGAATCAAGTCGAGCAACTCTTTATCCCAAGAACAGTACGCGCAATCTACCCCCGATGATATAGCTCGTCCCGGATGGTGGTGATTTAGCGCCAATCACGCCATCCCTTGCATTTCGCTTCCACGCGACAGATCGGCATCGAGCATCAACAGGAATTGCATCGTCCAATGGATGAATTCAATGATAGTATCTCAAGTGGGGTAGTGGTGTCTTTAAAAGAATTACTTAAATAAAGAGCAGACCTTCGCGGTCCCGCTACAATGCAAATAAACCACAATTAATACTACAACCATGAAAGCACTCTCACTTCTCGCCTCCGCCATTTTGGCACAGGCGTCTATTGACTCCTTTGCAGCAATTGGCAAACCGGACAGCCAGAATGTCCTACAGAACCATCATGTAACCCACCACTCTCCCAGCAGCCGTCCCAATATCGTCTTCATCCTCGTCGATGACCAGGACCTGCAAATGGACTCCATCCACTATACTCCACGCATCAACCACTACCTCGCCAGCCAGGGCGCCTTCTACCGCAACCACTTTGTCACTACCGCCTTGTGCTGTCCTTCACGAGTGAGTCTCTGGACCGGCAAGCAAGCTCACAACACCAACGTGACCGAGATCTATCCCCCATACGGTATGCCCCTCAACCCTACCCCCCAACTACCAATAGCCCAACACACTAACAAGAAACTATACAGGAGGATACCCCAAATTTGTCGCCGAAGGCCACAACGAGAACTGGCTTCCTCTCTGGCTCCAAGCAGCCGGCTACTCGACCTACTACACAGGGAAACTCTTCAACGCCCACACCGTCGACAACTACAATGCACCCTTCGTGACGGGTTTCAACGCCTCCGACTTCCTCCTCGACCCGTACACTTACCAGTACCTTCGTCCTCACTACCAACGGAACCAGGACCCTCCAACTAGCTACGAGGGCCAACATACCATCGAGGTAATCACTAAAAAGGCCCTCGGGTTCCTCGACGATGCTATCGCCGGCAATGAACCATTCTTCTTCACTGTCGCACCAGTGGCGCCGCACTCCAACTTGAACATGACAGACGAAACTGACACCACGACATTCCGCTTCTCTTCTCCTATTCCACTAGACAAACATAAGCATTTGTTTCAGGATGCTAAAATCCCCCGAACCCCCAACTTCAACCCTGACCATCCTAGTGGAGTCAGCTGGGTGCGGTCCCTCCCGCAGCAAGATGCTGAGAGCGTTGCCTACAATGATGAATTTTACCGTGATAGACTTCGTTCGTTGCAGGGTGTCGATGAACTCGTTGAGAAGATAGTCCTTCGATTGGATGAAGCGGGTATCTTGGATAATACGTATATTTTCTATACCTCGGATAATGGGTACCACATCGGTCAGCATCGCCTACATCCCGGTAAGGAGTGTGGGTTCGATGAGGATATCCGAGTACCAATGTTTGTCAGAGGACCGGGGGTGCCGAGGGGCGTGGAGGTGAGTGCGGTGACAACGCATATCGATTTGGCGCCGACTATCTTGGATATTGTGGGTGGTGAAGCAGAGGGTGAGCTGGATGGGGTGGCTATTCCGTTAACAACAAAGGAGATTCAAGCTGCGGATATGGATGGTGGTAGACATGAACATGTTAATGTCGAATATTGGGGGTTGGCTGGGTTTGAGGGTGCGTTTGGACGGGATGGTAAGTATTGTCCTGCCTTTTACAGCCTGTGAGGGGTATGCTAATGGAGTATGACAGAGAACGGTGGACCTGCTACCTTTTTCAATAATACCTACAAGGCTCTGAGGCTGATCAGCCCTGACTTTAACCTCTACTACTCTGTCTGGTGCAGTGGCGAGCACGAACTCTATGATCTAACTGTATGCCCTCCACCATGCCACCAATTCTACGTACTATACTGACACATATGTACAGACGGACCCCTACCAACTCCACAACCTCTACCCAAACCTAGCAGCATCCAAAATAGGATCCTACTCCGCCGTCAAAATCTCCACCCGTCTTGATGCCCTGCTCATGGTGCTCAAATCGTGCAAAGGAGATACCTGCATCCAGCCGTGGCGGACTCTGCATCCTTATGGGGATGTGCATAGCTTGCTTGATGCGTTGGACGACACATTCGATGGGTTCTATGTCCGCCAGGTACGGGTGCAGTTTGGCTGGTGTGAGCTTGGATATTTGCTCGAGGCCGAAGGGCCGCAGGTACCGCTGGCGTATCGGCATACGAGGTGGAGCGATTGGGTTTGATGCTCTGAGTACTCGGATGATCTCAAGAAGCAAAGTCAACGACAATAGCGATGCCTGGAAAATAAAATATAGTAAAATAAAGGGTGTTTTGTAAATATCAGAATCATAGATACCTGAGAGTGATATCATAGACAATCGTATTTTGTGCTTTCGAGGCTCATAAGCCTGTCTTCAACTTGAACATTGTAGGGCGCCCAAGGCTTACAGCCGACTCCCCTTCCCAGGCTCACCCACTAACTTCACCTTCTGCAACGCATTCCCATCCTTGAACCCTCTCATCAGCTCATTCGACCCCTTCTCCCCAGCCCCCAACTTCCGCCACTTCACCAACTGCAACAATTCCGATTGCACTCCCTCCACACGATCCACCACCAACTGTCCCAACACCGGCAGGAACTTGAACCCATGTCCACTACCACCCGTAGCCACCATCAATCCCTTCTTCCCGGGCACCCGATCAATCACCCAGTGATTATCATACGAGTCCGTATACCAGCACAATCGTGTCTGAGAGATCCCTATTCCCGCCTCCTTGAGTTCAGGTATATACCGATCCAGGAAACCTTGAATAACTGAGACAGACTTTTCTGGTAATCCAGACACAGACGGAGCCGTCCACTTCGTGATCGGGGCGCTGCGCACCTGTCCGTCTAACTGAACCTGCGGATGCGTGTATTTCGTCCCCCGATAACCGATCTTCAGAACTCCCCGGTCATCCAGTGGGAAGCCATACAGATTGCCGTATTCGCCACTGCGCACGTTCCATTGGAAGACGGGAAAGTTGGATGCCGAGAATCGTTGGCGGAGTGGAGAATCCTCCGGGATTTGTATCATCGCTACAGACCCCGCAGTGGTTTCGCAGAGCCCGTCCATTTCTGGGACGAGGGTGGGTGTCCAGCCCCCGCAGGCAACAATAGTCAAGGCTGCCGTATGGTGTTTGCCATCGGCGGTGCGAATTCCGGTTATTACGCCATTGGATTCGAGGAGACCCTCGAAGCGACCAGCCTGGCGGTCTAAGACGAGCTTGACGCCTAGGTTCTCCGCTAGGTGGAGTGCGTAGCGACATGCCTTGTCGGCGTAGACGAACCCCCCGATCATGTCAAGGTATCCGCTTGGTTGTTGTCCGACGCTCGAGAGGTGGAAGGGGTCGACTGCGTAGCCATAGCCGTCTGCTTTGGCTCGGGTGGCTTCTTGCGGATTGGACGCAAACAGGTACTGAGTGTGCCCGAGGCCGGCCTTGGTCAGGTTCTCTACCGAGGCCTTTTCGAAGGGGTTCAGGCCAGCTGCATCGCCGTGGTCACCGAAATGGTAGTTGCCGCAGTTGACATAGATGCGTTCTTTGCGAGTCATTCCAGGGGGAAGAGTTGTCCCTTTGGCGAGGGTGTCGTTCCAAGCCTCCCATGCCTTGATTGCTTCCAGGGTGAAGTTCTGGTACCATATTTCGTGGCCGTAGGCAGCCCGTATGATCTTGTTGCAATCTGATAGTTGCCATTAGCATAAGTATCTACTTGGCTGCGGTGCGTAGTACCTGCAGATGCGGCATCGCAGCCGCGATCAAAGTCGTAAAGCGTCTCGTGGTAGGGCTGGCGGTCAAAGACGGTGACGTTGTGGTATCCCCTCCGAACCAGATGAATGGCGCTGGAGAGGCCAAACACGCCCGCCCCAACAATGACGATCGGGGCGGTCTTGTCGAGGGGTGCAGACATGATTAACGTGCGGTAGATACACAGTGACTGGTGCACGCTTATCGGGATCGGTGCGATTTATAGTTATGGATTGGTTCTGACAGTGGCGCTGCCAAGCTACTGATAGGATAAAGTTGGTCGTGCGGAGAAGCTGGACACCCCCACCCTTCAAGGCTGGTCACACTGATAACGCGGGGCTGCTGCAGACACGGGATGGATGGACCTTCCTGACAGGAATGAGAATGACGATGATGATGATGCCACAAGGATGAAGATG